GCTGGAGTTAAACCACGACAGATGGCCAGTGTTGAGCTTCGAAAAAGCTCGGCTTGATCAAAATACTAGTTTTTAAAAAGTGAATGCTTCAGAATAGCAACAAATGAATGCCAGAAATAGCAGCTTGTGTTGTAACCCTTGTATTCCCCAAATGATCAGAATTGTAAATCACAGCGATTAAAATCAAATGAAACCAACAGGGCCTGTAACCAGCAGGACAAGAAGGGGTGATGTGGTTAAGGGCATGAAGCGCCGTAACAGGATTTGCCCTTGATTTTTGTCACGCTGGCAGAGATTTCTCTTTGCTGAACTCTATGTGAGCTCAAATAGAGGCTGCTTCTGTCCTGATGGAGGTGCCAGGAGGGGTAATTATCGCAGCTCTTGCAATGCTCTTAGCTGGTACGTAGCGGTGCCACTCAGCAGGCCAGTTTTGGGGCTGGCTGGCGCTCCCGAGCTGAAGCCGCAGCATTTTACCCCAGGTGCTCTCGCTGGTTTGGCAGAACTGCATCACGGTACCCCAGAATTGCATCTGTCCTCTCTGCGTACGTCAGCGACTCGCTGGCAGCCCTCAATTAACACATCTCTTGCGGCTGTGGCTGCTTGCCTTGAGAGTGGCTTTCCCTGAAAACACCCTGTCCCATAGCCAGCGCAGCTCTCCGTTTGTATTTTGGAGGTTTCATTGTGGAATGTGAATTGCTTCCTCTCTAATGCTGCTCAGGAGAGATGTGTTCTCATGCGTTTGGTTCGTACAAGCTACTTCTTCTCAAGCAGCCCTTTGTAATTACTAAATGTTTGTGTGGGGCAAAAGAAACTTTCTCCTTTTCATCTTACAGTGAAAATATTGCCTGCCTTGAATAGAAAATTAGTGACTGCTCACAGCTAAGGGAGGGGTGTGGGGCATGAAATACCTTTTAGTGTGTTCAGCACTAGATCTGCACTGGCTTTTGTATTCTAATGCTGGTATTTCCTGTAATCACGGTCATGGGTAATTTTAGCTGGGTTGCTCTTGCCTTTCTCACCTGTACAGCGTGGGAATATCTGTGAAGTAATTCAGTATTCTCAGGTGGAAGCTGATACTGTCATGAGTTTTGAAAGCATGGAGAGGAGTACAGTTGGTAGTTTATTTTATTTACCTTGGCATACTTTGTTTGCATTGAGTGACTTTATTTTTTTTCTCTCTTTCCCCCCCAGGTCTATAATTAGCAGAAGATTTTTCTGTATAGTTGGCACACTATACCTGTATCGGTGTATTACGATGTATGTGACTACACTCCCAGTACCCGGCATGCATTTCAAGTGTTCTCCAAAGGTAAACTTCTGGCTGCCTTTCCGTATTTTAATTTGTATGTTTTCCCCTTGTCCTGCTGTTACAAAACCGTGAGCAACACTTTCTCAATAATTATTACTAATTTGAAAATACCGGTTTGGCATGATGGGGACGTCCTTCTGCAGATCATCACCTTCCCTCTCGGTGAAGGTGTTGACAGTCACTCCGGGGCTGTGCAGACATTCCCACCCATTTCAAAGTGCTCCTCTACACAATTTCTGTAGCATTTTCAGCTGATGTGCACTGTCAGCACTTTTCTATCTCCACCAAAGCAGTCGAAGGTGTGCAACCTGTGGAGCGGCCACATGTGACTCGTTTCTTCCAAACGCCTCAGTGTGTCAAGTCCAAGTGGGATTTGTATTTGCAAATGGCTCAAGGGGACTTTTCTAAGGCTGGTGAGACTGTCTCCTTTGCAGCTGTTTGTAGGCGCATATATATATGTTTGCCATTTTGATAGCACAAGGATTTGCCACCTCCTCCACAATCTAGCACTGCCTCCTGTTTGTTGTGCTGAGGAATAAAATGGGCTTGGGAAAGCCATGGCTGAAACCACTGAGACAGAGTTGCTTGGGCAAGACCCTTGTAGCCAGCCTTGAAGGGTAATTCTTGGGGTGGAGATGGGACAGGGATGGTGGTGTCGCATCCATCTCATCGCCCAGCGTTGGTGTAAGAGTGGTCCTTACTGCAGCGTGCTGTTCGTGGTGGGGAAATGCAGTCCTACAGGCTGGACTTCTGCGGAAAGGGGCAAGGTGCATATATTAGACACAAGTCTCTTAGTGGTTTATCTTTGTGCCCCTCCTGGGGTTCTTTGTGCTATAGCTTGATTTAAGCAGGACAAAGGAAGGGAGGGAGTAATTTCTGTGAAATATCTACAGCACACACAGTCCAGTGGCGTTGTGTGCACCACCGTAAGTTAGATGACAGGTAGTAAAATCTCTGATTTACAGGTAGTAAAGTCAGGATTTGAGTCAGTCCACGTGCTGTCGCTGTTCTGGTGAGGATTGCTGGTATGTACAAAGCCAAAACGCTTTGGTTCCTCAGGGAAATAAAGCCAACGAACGTACTACACTGGTTGTTGGACAAGGCAAAGCATTTGCCAAGCCACGTGTGGCTTTTTGAGGGACCGAGGTCTTTTGTAAACAGAAGCGAGTAGGAGAGGAGCCAACATTGTACTTGATCAGTCAGCCATTATGAAATTAAAGAAGAAAGGACACAGGTATTTATGGGCTGAAGTGAGTAAATCTGCCATTTCTGGACATGTACAGCATTGGCAAGTCCATCTCATTACTCAGGTAGAGACAAGCCTATGTCGTGCTCTTCTGTTGCCCCGGTAGAACTAAGGATTAGCTGGGCTTTCTTGAAAGCTACCAATATACTGTTGGGAAAAGAATAACTTCTCAGTACCTTAATGAGTTATATGTGATCATGAAGGGTAGGCTTTGGAGAGCGTTTTGATGTTTTGTAAACAACTGTTAGCAGGAAATGTTTAATTGCTGCAAAGACCCTGTTTAAATCTGTCAGAAATGAATGATTTCCACTTCTTAAAGCAAGACTGAGCTTTAAAATAAAAGAAAAACATGCCTATAATGGCCAGCCAGGGGGTCTGTTTCCTTCTGACTGTTAAATGATTACCATGGCTTTTAAAACTTCATAAAATGAGGTAAGGATGCAGCACCTGTGTAGTCACATGTATTGATCCATGTGTCCTGCTCCTTTGAGCTCAGACGGCTTCTGCTTCCCGCTGGGTCCTGGAGGTGCTCAGTAAGTTCCGGTCGTGCTTGTCTCATGGCATGCATTTTCTTTGTGGGTTTGTTTAACATTTGGGCTTGGTTTAGAGCTCAGAGCAGCAAAAGCAAAGTCTTGGGATAGTGCCAGTTGCCCCTCGGCCACCTGGGAGGAGGGAGAGGAGTGTCCTCACCAGAAGGTCTTGGCTTGCTTTGGTTTGGCTTTGGTAAGGCAAATTTGAAGGTTTTTCACAAATACCCTCTGAGGCAGCATCACGGCTGGGAGGTGGGTCAGGGCAAATCCATCAGGCATGGAGGAACATCCCCTGTTGCTCAGGTGGATTGTGTGAGTTAAAGCCCATGCAGAGTTTTGGCACCGTGCCTGACAAGCACCGTATATGGGGTTTTTTTGAAGTGCGAAGTGGAAATAAACGATTCTGAAGACCTTCCAAGGCAGGGCAGTGGGAGGCCTGAGATTTTGGAGTGAGATACTCACTTCTGTGCATTGAATCTGGGTTTCGACAGCTGGACATAGAGCTTGGGCAGTTCATCCTGTTTTCTGTTGGATTATCATCCACAGGGCCTGTGCTGTTATGAACCAGATAAATTAAATCCAGCTTGATTTATTTTAGAGTGCATTGCCTCTTGAACATAAAGAAAAACAGATGTTTAGGGAACATGACAAAATTCTAGCTGTCGCTGGAAATATTTTTAATTCCTTTTTGTTGGTGAAGCTGGATTGTTGAGACACAAGTTGTAGGTTTTCCAAGAGACATTATTCTGAACCTATACATATGTAATGGCTATACATATATATATATATATGTACACACACACTCACATTGTATATGCCAGTGCAAGAATATGATGAATAAAGAGAGAACTGAACACAATAGATCTGCTTGAAGATTCCCACTAAAAGTCCTTTTCCTGCACAACTGCACATTAGCAAAGGCTGCCAGTGAGACCTGGGAAGAAAGATCACTCCTTTACAAGGTAGCAGCAACAAGTACTTATCAATAACGTGACTGATCTTGTGTATCAAAGCAAAAAGAGCAAATACTGGAAGGCAAAGTTTCTGGCTAACACCATTGCTTTCAACTCCGAAAGGTTCGCCCTGATGTTTACTGTGCTTTTGTGTTTTCCCTTCCACCAGCTTTTTGGAGACTGGGAATCTCATCTGCGAAGGATAATGAAACTGATTGCTGGCGGGGGATTGTCCATTACAGGATCCCACAACATGTGTGGCGACTATCTGTACAGCGGTCACACCGTCATACTAACTCTTACATACTTATTTATCAAAGAGTGTAAGTTCCTTACTGCTCATGTGGCATTTCCTGTTGTATGATTCCTTCCTAATTGAAGAATTATTGCTGTGCTGATCGGTGAATACAATTACAGTAAAAATACACACTTCTTCTGCTAGATAAAAATAATAGAACTTTAAAGACATAAGTCTTACTGAAAAAGAAAGCTTTGAAGACAAAACACTTTACCATGTAGATGTCTGAGTGAAACATTTTATTTTAAAAAGATTTTGTTTGGGATATGATTGAAACCTTCATTGCACTCTGCCTAATGAATGGTATTTCAGCTGTGTGTTTCCTAGTCTGGAGACATGAACGCCATGCTAAATGCGAGGTTGCTCGTTTTGCGGGAATCAGGCCTTACTGTATGCATTTATCTTTTGTGAAAGGCAAGAGGAGTGGATTGCAGTCTATGTAGAATCAATACTGACATACAAATCCGTTAATTTTACTGACCAGCGTATAATATATTGTTACACATTGTGCTTGTTTCTCAAAGATTTCATAACCTTTCCGTTTTTCCAAGAGCCTGATTACCCCTGAGTACCGTTTTAAGTTACTCCTTGAGAGAATGATACGTATTTTGAGATCTTGCCATTGCTGCCCTTAGTCTTAATGCACGGTTGCAGTCTGTGCCCTCTGCTAATTACAGCAATAGCCTTGCGTGCTGATAACGTTACACATTGAAATAATCACTGCTTATGCTTCATTCCAGACTCTCCACGGCGACTCTGGTGGTATCACTGGCTTTGCTGGGCACTCAGCATGGTTGGGATGTTCTGCATCCTCCTTGCTCATGACCACTACACTGTGGACGTGGTGGTGGCTTACTACATCACTACAAGACTTTTCTGGTGGTATCACACAATGGCCAACCAGCAAGTGAGTTTCTCAGAGTCTTTGGATCCACATGGCTCCTCTTGGCGTAGCGTGGTGGTGGGCAAATATCTACACTTTGCCTTGAGCCTTTTTGCAGGAGTAAGAGTGGAGTCTTGTGGAGCATCCCCCTCTTCCTCCCTCACACTGGGTTTGTGGGAAAGAAGAGACGCCATCAGTTGCGTTGAAGGCCTACCCACAAACAGGGGGGCATTTCTGCTGCTGCAGTGTAACCTCATTTTTGGAGTCGTCCTGAATTTGGGCCAGTTTTGTGAGAGCAAAGCAAACCATTTAGATGTGGTGGGGTTTTTTGCCTTGGGTTTTTTTTTTTTCAGTTGAAGCTAACTGAGTTTTCCTTGTATTCTGTGGCTTGTGCCCTTTGGTTAGGTGGCAGTTCTCTTGAAGAACAGTATGAGGCCTCGCTAGAAATGAAGCAGTTTGTCAAAGTGTTTCTAAGAGATGGTAAAGTTGCGCTGACCAAAGGAAATGTTTTTGTTTTGGAGGATAGTGGAGCAAAGAACAGGCTGCTCCTGCCCTAAGCCCGGTGTTGGGGAAGGCCTGAAAAACAGGGTGATAGGGAAGATAGGGAAGAACGAAGAGGTGCAGCACGTGATGGGGGATAGCAAAGCACAGTTTGTAATACTGAACCAGAGAGCGGTGGTGAATGACTCAGAGGTTGACCAGAGTAGTCTAAACGAGGTCTCACGTCATTCTCGTTCTTACTGTCCTGCCAGTGAACTAGATTAATAAGAAATGAGCTTACGGCGTTGGGGCATGTGAGAGAAAATGCTCAAGTCTGTTACCTGTGGGAAATGCCTAGTGAGTTAAGAGAAACCTTACTCATAGGTCTGTGACAGCAAATTGGTGTCCAAGTATTTTCTGGGCAATGTGGAGAAAGATATTTTGCTTATCTGTTGGATACGTCTCCAGTTAATTATGTTTAAGAAAGACCTAGTGTGATGATAGGAAATTAATTCATATTGTGATGGTACAGACTTCTAGATCATATCAAAGCCTTCTAGCTACTGTATCATATTACGCCAGTGGTTTGGACGCTGCTTGAAGCAAGTCTTGACACCGCAGTCGAGCCCTCTGATATTTCTTTGCCACCAAATGCCTAGTTGGGAAGAATGCACTTGAATCTTCAGTTTGGGAACCCCTGCGCTCGACAGCAGTTTGTGCCCAGACTTTGTAGTTGTTGTCGTACGGCACCAGACTGACTGCCCTGCTTCGGATTTGCTCCTGGGTTCTGTCAGAATGACAGTGCTGAGTGGCTGTGCTTCCAAGCTGGAAGCTACTGAAGCCAGGCTTGCCGTGACTGCTGAGGAGGCCTTGCGTCAGAAAAGCCCTTTGCCTTACTGTAGGGCAAAGCACCTTCTTTGCTGCGTGGTGTGACTCAGAAGATGGCTCAACATTGCTTCCCAAGCTGCTGAGATGTTGGGAAATACCAGTCTCTGGATCCTTACCTGACTACTAGTCTCTCCTTCCTGGCGCTGCTCCATGTGCAGCTGTGGCTTGTCTCTGACCTTACAATTAAGAGCAAAAGCCCACTGGGGCTGAAGTGGGTTTATTTTACATGTGAGTTTGTGACATGGAAAGAAAACTTAGCATGTAAGCCCCGTGCTTGCACTCTGTGATGGGCTGATCCGATGCTTCCCTGCTCTGGCACTGAAAATGTGCCGCAGGGTGCTTGGGTGAGTCCCTCGGTGTCTCAGCCGTGGCTTGCTCGTGGCAAGGAGAAGCGGAAGGGTGGGTGGGGGCTGTTTGAGAGCACGTGGAGGGCAGGGCAGGGCAGGGTTCGTTACCTCCTCAGGGTGGGGGGAGGCATGCCTCTATCATTGTTCTGCCGGCACGCAGCTGGGCTCTGAAGCGGCTCTTGAGCTACATGTGATCTCAGAGGTACTTACTGAAGCAGCAGTGCTTTGGGCTGGGGTTTTTTCATTCCCAAGTAAGAGGCAAGACCAATCTTTTCGACCATTTACTCCTTTCCTATGGGACCACTGAACAGCTGAGGTCTTGGAAACGGGGTTGAGCCTCGCGTGGGAGCGACATCTGGTGCGTGCAGGGAGGCCATGGAAAAGTAGCTTGGCTCCTCTCGATCTTTGTCTGTGCAGATCCGTCTGGGGGGTGTTTCTAGATACTGAGAGATCTGTGGAAGCATCTGTAAGACAGGCGCCACTGGTGGATGCTAGCACGCGATGTGCGATGACGTCACGCGCGTAAGCGATGGGCTCTTTTGTAATTCTCTCTTGTTTTCCGATTATCTTTGTGCAGGTGCTAAAAGAAGCTTCCCAAACTAATCTCCTCGCAAGGGTCTGGTGGTACAAGCCCTTCCAGTACTTTGAAAAGAATGTCCAAGGAATTGTACCTCGCTCCTACCACTGGCCCTTCCCCTGGCCGGTGCTGCACCGGGGCAGGCAGGTGAAATACAGCCGCCTGGTGAATGACACGTAACAGCGTGTCGATGGACGAAACGGGGGGAAGGGACCTGTCCCAAGTGCTAAGAACTCTGTACGAGAAGATGCCATAAAAAAAAATCAACCGCTCCCTAACCCTTTCTTTTAACCCTTGACTTAACCTATTCAGTTACCTGGTAAGCACTGTGATCATTTTTCTCTCCAAAGGATCTGCGTTGGACAACAATAAAGAAGATTTAACTTATCATGCACTGTTATACATTTCTTGTTACTAGATTTGGGATTTACATTTGTCCATCACCATGTTCCTTTGTATATGATGCGACAGCATAAATGAAAGCTTTTATATCATAAGTTCTGGTCTTTCCAGTCACGTCTGGGAATAAAGCATATTATTTTCTTGGGAAAACATACTTTTCATATCTCTTGCCCCAAAGATTGGGCTGTAAGCCATTTTCTAGCAAATGACTATATGAAGGTTTCTAAATACCTGCCTTGGGTAAATCGAGAAATCTTTCTACCTGTTGCACCGTGCTACGAATAAGATGATAGACACAGGAAGGTTTGGTAATCTTGATTTTGTAGAATCTGCAGTGACTGTGTCAAAAAGTGCAAAAAAAAAAAAAGAAGAAAAAAAATTGTAAAGTGATTTTCTAAGTATTTCCTAACTTTATTTTTCAAAATGTGTATAAAAAATTAAATTTAAAAAGATTTTTACATGTCAGAGAATAGAGAGTTAAAATTTAAAGAAAATGCTTCTTGGGAGAGAGAGATTTGTCTATGTTTCTAGTGCCTTTCTTGTCTTGATTGTATGGTCAGTAGGCAGTCTTAAATGTTTTTATTTAAAATAAAGTATTCCATGAAAGCAGAATTATATATACTGTATAATTACTAATTTTTGCATTTATAGCTAAATTAAACTGGAAATTTGCTTATAATGTTGAAATTGCCATGTGTAGGGGGGGGAAAACCACCAAATAAAAAGGGTCCGATCTTGCTCACACATTGTGGGCAGGTCAAACTAAAAGGTATCTCACTTTATGGTCTACTTGGTAGCTGTATTTTCAAAAGCAAAAACAGCCATGAATTCCTGTTTTTTAAGAATTTTACAAATGATCACTGCGTGAACTACGAATGGTTTCTCCATCCCGTATTGAGATGTTGTTGAAAAACAACAAAGATAATCTATTTCTTTAAAATATTTGTGCAGAAACTGCATGTAATGAAGTTTCACTCCTACCATACATACTGTATGTCTGGGGAAGTACTCTATCCTGAACTTGCCAATGTGCAGAACAAAATAGTTTTTTTAAAGAATGAAGAAGAGAAAATATATATATAAATATATATATATCCATTCTGTATTTTACGTGAAGCAGAGTTATCTTCTGTAGGGTTTTTGTGTATTCACAAGGTGATATTTGTATTGTACAACAACAATGGTGAAGGAAAATAAAAAGGCTTTTGAAAAATGTAGTTTCCTTTATCTCTTTGCTATTAAGTTTAAATTTAAAGCTGGGTTTATTCTTCCAAACCTTGCCTTTGAGTTTATGTGTTATTGCACAGTAGGCCATCAAATTTGGACTGTATGGAAACTGCATTGCTTTTGAATTGCTGTTGGCGTTGGGCAAATCAGTGCCTTATCTGACTAAATGCTATGCAACCGATTCTGATCGCGCGGGAGCCGGGGCGGATGGGAGGGGCCTTCCTGGGAACCATCACCAGGGCTTGAAAAATCTACCCCAAAACTGCTGGGACAGAGCGCAGGGCAGGGTAGGCAGCCAGGGCCCCGGGCTCTGTCAGGAGAGGAAAAACAGGCAGGGAAATGTCAGTGAGTAGCGGTGGGAAAACAACATTCCTTTCTTCTTTTTGTCTGGGGGGTGGAGGTGGTTTGCTCCGCTCTGACCTGCCCCGCAGCCTGGGCCAGAAACTTCCTTGAGGAACTGGCGGGGCGTCGCTTGTGCTGCTCTGCCCCGCCGTTGCGTGGGGTACTGGCACGACGAACACGTTGCTTACCAGTTCTCTTTCTCCCCGGCAGGGAGGGGGTTTCTTCGTGCTGCTCAGCAAACCCCTTTGTGACGGCGTTTGCAGAGCTGTCTGCGAAGCCTGGGGATCCGCCCTGCGTGCTTTGCCTTGGTGTTACCTTTGCAGCTATGTGCTGGAAAGTCGGTTTTTTAAGGTCAGCCAGCCCGCCCCAAGGCGATTGCTTGAGAGAATTCGTGCTCCCAGACGTAAAAGAGCGAGTAGATTTTTCAAGACCTGGCGTCACGCGCACCAAACCCATTGACATAAGTAAATGTATGGATATACGCACATGACATTAAATGGAATCTGCTGAATTCTGTCTTGTAGTGTCTGACTTACCGCACGGGTCTCACCTGGGTTACGTTCCGCCGCAGGGCTGTGCTCCGGTCAGGCATCCTGTCGTGAGAAACAGGGCTGGGCAAGCAGGGACACGATGCTCAGAGCCGTGCCGTTGCTCTGGGCCCTGCCTGGGCTGGAAGAGGGGACCGAGGGAATGGATACGGGACAAAACGGTTGTGCATCCGTGTTAACTCCGCACTCAGGCCCTTGTGCTGCCTTGTTCTTCCCTGCGAGTGTCTGCTCGGCAGCACCAGCTAAGCCGGGCGATGGCACTAACGCTGCGGGGATCAGTGCGAGGGGTGCAGCTGCTTATTGTTGAGCGTTGCGCTCACTGGGGATCCCAAATTTCCCTCCCTTGAGCGCTTTGGCTGCATCTTCCCTAGCCCATTCAGGTGTGGTACCTCATAGAATCACAGAATGGTGTGGGTTGGAAGGGACCCTAAAGACCATCTAGTTCCACCCCCCCTGCCATGGGCAGGGACCCCTTCCACTAGACCAGGTTGCTCCAAGCCTCATCCAGCCTGGCCTTGGACACTTCCAGGGATGGGGCATCCACAGCTTCGCTGGGCAACCTGTCCTAGTGCCTCCCCCCCCTCTCCAGGAAGATCTTCTCCCCGATATCTAATCTAAACCTCCCCACTTTCAATTTAAACCCATTACCCCTTGTCCTGTCACTACAGGCCCTTGTAAAAAGTCCCCCCCAGCTTCCCTGTAGCCCCCTTCAGGCACTGGAAGGCTGCAATGAGGTCTCCTCAGAGCCTTCCACAGTGATGCCTCAGACCGTGCTTTCCGTAGAGGCGTAGCCAAGGGATGATGGCAGTCTCCTGGAGACTGCGAGCAGCCACGCTCACCTTTTGAACTTTGTGTTTCTAGGATGCCATCCTTGCCAGCTTCCACGGGCAGTCCTGTTCCCACTTGGAGGCTGAACCACCATGTGCATCATCCCTTTGCCCTGGGGCGTTGGCGCATCATGCGCGTCTGCCTTGAACCGTGAAGCTTGTGCTGCTCAGACGCACATGCACCTTCACCGTGGATGCCCCGTCAGGGAGGTGAGCGCAGCAAAGTTGGGCCAGGGAAGGAGGGAAATCCATGTTGTGCTGCCTTGATGGAAGCAGATGGAGCTACCGACCCTTCCCACATCCTGCCAGTAAAGCAGTCCTCCCCTAACTTGTCGCTGAGCGTGGAATTGTCTGGTTTGAGGGTGTCTGTAGGAGGACAGAAGGGAGCCTGGTTTGTGTGTGAAGCTTAACGTGTTGTCCAGTGCAGATTGCAGGGGGGATCTCTACCAGAAAAGGCTGGAAAAGGCCAGTGTAAGGTGGAGAAGGACCTGCCAATTGTCCGAGTCCTGGCCAAGCAGAAACCAAGATCTTTGTCAGGAGGGTGGACTTTGCTGCTGAGATCCACCTCGGTTTAGCTTTTAGTCCTTCTGGGTGGGGAAAGTTTTAACAGTGCGTCTGCCTTGAACCGTGGATGCCCCGTCACCGTGGATGCACCTTCACCGTGGATGCCCCGTCAGGGAGGTGAGCGCAGCAAAGTTGGGCCAGGGAAGGAGGGAAATCCATGTTGTGCTGCCTTGATGGAAGCAGATGGAGCTACTGACCCTTCCCACATCCTGCCAGTAAAGCAGTCCTCCCCTAACTTGTCGCTGAGCATGGAATTGTCTGGTTTGAGGGTGTCTGTAGGAGGACAGAAGGGAGCCTGGTTTGTGTGTGAAGCTTAACGTGTTGTCCAGTGCAGATTGCAGGGGGGATCTCTACCAGAAAAGGCTGGAAAAGGCCAGTGTAAGGTGGAGAAGGACCTGCCAATTGTCCGAGTCCTGGCCAAGCAGAAACCAAGATCTTTGTCAGGAGGGTGGACTTTGCTGCTGAGATCCACCTCGGTTTAGCTTTTAGTCCTTCTGGGTGGGGAAAGTTTTAACAGCCTTAAAATACAGGGCCGGGAGCTTTTTGAGGCGCACCAGCCAAGGAAGGGCAGTGAGCTCTTAGCTCTCCTGTGCTCTGAAAAGAGAAACCGGCCCCCACCCACCTCCCCCCTCCTGCATTTGTTCAGGGAACGGCTCAGAGTATTGCGCGTTGGCTTTGCCCTCCTCCTGGTGCCGGGGTACTGGAGTGCTCCCTGAAGACAAAGCACCCCGAGTTCCTGTTCTGGCAGCTTTCCCCACCCAAATCAGCAGATCCTGGCAGCAAGGGCTTACCGGGAGGATTTATGGCTTCTTGGCCATGTGATAAGGACTCCTTCCACAGCCCGGTTTCCAAAATAGAGATGAACCCCTTGCATCATGCAACGTGGTCATGCCACGCATCTCCCCTGTAACCTGGCAGGAATACACATCTTCCTTGGAGAAAACACATCGGTTTTCCAGCACGGGGGGGCACTTCTGCTTTGCACGTGCTGCTTGGCTCTTCCTCAGAGCAACGCTTTCCCCGTGCTCTCCTGCATCCCAGCTGAGGGCCGTGCCCATGGAGCTGCATGTTTCCGTCCAGGGCCTGGAAATGACTGATAAATGCTCTTTGGGGTGGGAATGAAGATGATGTTGTCACCAAAAGCGTGTGTTTTCCAACAAATGCTTCCAAAGGCAGCCAGCCGCCTTGTTGCACCTCGGTGAAGGGCCCGGGAGATGATGGACTGAAGCCAAAATCGGCTGCTGAGAGGTTTCTTCTGGAGTCTCCTGCACTCCTAAGCACTGAAAGAGCTGCCGGCTTAGACTTAGAAATCTCTTAACCCATCTTGCTCTCAGAAGACCTCTGTCAAAACACAGACATATCCCTTGATGCCCCTCTCTGATGACAGGGATGATCCTCCAGGTAGTGCCATGGGTTCTGGCGGCTTTGGCGTTGGTCCCATCCCCTTTAACACGCTGGGGACAACTTCCTGCAAGGCCTTTCCCTCAGGCTACCTTCACCCCCTGGAAGGATCAAAGCAATTCATCCAAGCCCTGCTTTTGCCCATGTAGAGCATCTCCCTCCCCGGGCTCTGCAAAGTGGCCAGATCCAAAGGGTCTGTTCTTTGGACCTGTTTACGATGCCCTGGGTGATTTTTAGCCAACGTACTCCCTAATGCTAACAATTGCTTCTGCCCGGGCTTCGCCGCTGGCTGCCTGCGGCCAGGCACGTGCCAGTCACACCACAGAGTTACCGTAACCACTGATCCTATTTCCCCTGGGAGAAAGGTACGCTGCCACGCAAGTTATTTGAGCAACCCTTGATTTTGGGTTAATTTTGGTTCATTTCAGCCTCTTTGGTGGAGCGGGTCGGGTCCGATGAGTCTGTGCTGGGTGTCGGAGTGCAGAGCAAGGGTTTGTGTTTGCTGCCCGGGGGGGTGGGTTTGGCTCGGGCAGCCCTCTGCCAGGTGCTGCCTCGGCTATCCCTCAAGGCAAATTTATTTCCTTTTCCACTTAATATTTTATAGGCGTAAAGGAAAGCAGAGCGGGCAAGGAGCTCAGGACGTTATCTGTTTCTCCGCACTGGTGTCTCCCCCTTGGCAAGAAGACGCCGCTCTCTGCCTTCCAGCAGTGAGAGGGACTCCGGTTTGTTTGTTTTCAGCCTTTCTTCTACTTCCAGGTGTTGCCTGCATTTTGACAGAAATCGAAACATTCCTTCCCATTTCATCTGGCAGCCAGATCACTCTGGGGGGGTGGGTTGGTTTGTTGTTGTTGTGTTTGGGTTTTTGTTGGGGTTTTTTTGTTGTTGTTTTTTTTCTTTAGTGGGTTTGAAAATTTGGTACTTGCTCCAGTGCCCTCCCTGTCATTTGGTTTGTGCTGCTGAAAACGTGGTGCCTTTCTCCATCTGTTCGTTTTCCCCCCAGGTTCATCCCATGGAAGGGACGGCCTGCTGGAGCCTTGGTGTGCGACCCCTTCATGATGTTCTGCATTTCAGCTCCTGGGAAACCTCGGCCAGGCCAGGGGGGCACGAAGGGGGATACTTCAGTTTTGAAAGCGGCAGCGTTACGTATGAGACAGGGAACGTGTGTTTGGCCTTTAGCTGCTGCTTCAAATGATTGATGGCTAAGTATTTCCTGCTTGTGGTGAAGCTTTGACCCATTTGCATTCAATTTGTTGGCAGGTTTAAGGCACGTGATCTGGGGAATTTTTGGGTGTTCCCCTGTCCGA